AGTCTGGAGCTCAAAGACAACCTTCAATCATCCTAAGGTGAATTTCTACTCAATCTAAGAAAAACCTAATTTTGAGTTCATAAGAAAAAGTGAGAAATTTGGATCCATACTTTGATAAAACTGTGATGTGATGATAAATTTGGAATCTTCTTAGAAAAAGAGTGGGACATGTTCGAAATTTTGAAAGATATTTGTCAAGTTTGAAATCTGGTTTTTTTCTCAAAATCTCCAAGCTTATTGGAGAAGATGATGAAAAAGGTCCTTTTGATCTTTGAAATCCTATTTTTCTTTTAAAAAGGTATTTTTCCTAAGAAAACATTATTTTAAAAGCTTTGAAGAACTTACATTGGCATGTTTAACACGGAAAAGATGTTTCGGGAACTTCGCAGGTTGATTCCAAAATAAATCGGGATTTTGAAGTTCAGATTCGCGGAAAATCGGGAAAAAGCAACGGGAAGTAGAACAGAGTCTGGCTGCGGGTCGAATGTGCGCGGCCGCGGCAAACATGTGTTTTGCCGCGGGTGAGGGACCTAGGACGCGGTGAATCAAACTCCGACCGTGGTTGAGATTATCGCGGCCGCGGGAAAATGGTTCCGGCTTAACCTACTTCTTTCCGGTTTCCGGTTTCTTCCTCCTATCTTTTGTATTTTTCTAGTTATTTGGATGTTTTTGGTTTTTTTTTTGTGTCTTATGAAAACCTGAAATGCATAAAAATGAAAAAGATCAAATGGAAAAGAAATAAAAAGAAAAGAAAATCATACCAAATGGGTTGCCTCCCATCAAACGCTTTTGTTTAAAGTCTTTTAGCTAGACTCTTGGCAGGATCAGGATTGAGAAGAAAAGGTAGGATCCTTGAAAAGAGTCATTCGAATCCTCTTGAGTTTGGACTTTGGATCTCTTTCATCTTGAATCACAATTTCCTTTCCCTTCTTAAGGATTTTTGCATCCTTGAAGACATTTTTTGTCCTCTCAACAATTCTTTCAAGGTTTTCCTCCTTCTCCTTGATGATGTATGGTGGTACCACTATCTTGATCTTTGCAAACTGCTTAGATGCACGTGATTTTAGTTTCTTTTTGGTTTCCGACATCTTCTCCTTGCTCTTCTCCTTGCGTTTTGGAGCTTGATCCGGTATGGTCTTATAGAACTTTTTCCTGTCCACATTTAAGAGAACTAAACAGCGATTTGCATAATCAATGATAGCACCTACAGTTGCTAAGAATGGGAGACTAAATATCAAAGGTCTCTTTTTGTCTTGGTCCATCTCTAAAACTTGGAAATCGGCTGGGATGATTTTGTTTCCAGTGACCAATGGCAAGTCCTAGATCATTCCTTCCATCCTCTTTTGAGATGAATCACCAAAGATTATCCTTACTGGAGATGGGACAAATATTCCTATACCAAATTTCTTAGCAACAGTTTTTGACATAACATTCACATTAACACCAGAATCACATAAACAATCTGAAAATTCAATTCTACAGATTAAGCAAGTGAAAGAAAGACGCCCTGTATCCTTAGACTTTTTGAGTCTTTGGTCAGGTAAGCGTTTTGCTATCTTAACCGGAATTATCGGGTTTTGTTCATCTTCGGTTTTTGTGTCCTTAATGAGAGGTTCAGGTTTCGACTTTTCCTCAGAACCTGCGACTGGTCATTCTTCCGGTACTGCTGTCATGGCATTGCAGAACTTCTTTGGATTATCTTCCGCTCTTCCTGGCAAGACTCTGATATGTTCATAATTTGCATCATTTAGGTTGCATAAATCATTCCAAATCATGTTTTATTTCATGCATTTTAGGTCCTTAGGGTTTGTTTTAGAACTTAGGAGATGCATTAGGTCCCAATGAGTCTTTGCATGTTTTGAGTGTTTATCAGGTGAATTTGGAGCTGAAAAGATGAATCCAGGAGGTGGTATGGTGAGCAAAGCTTGAAAAGTGGCAAAAATTGGATCTTTGGAGGTTATCGGCCATTCTCGCTGACCAGGAAGGTTTTCTCGGCCATTTTTATGTACTGCGGGAAGAGTTTACCGGCCATTTTCATGTACCGCGAGTAAAGTGTATCGGCCAAAATCTCCGGGTGCAAACATGTCTCAGAAATCGCCTGTCCAGGGAACCTTCCGGTCCGATTCGGATGGCGGGTGCTTCATAAAAGTTGGAGAGGACTTGATCACGGTTTCATAGCAAGTGAAATCACGGAATTCGGACGCCTGAGCAGGAAGTTAAGCTCGACGGAAGGAACCCCTGTATCGCTGTTGTTTTGGACCGAGCCGACGAGTTTTGAAAAATGCGAAGGACGGAGTACTTCCAGGCCGATTCAGTTTCCGGGGCCTTCATGAGTATCAGAGACACTTGAGTCCTCTTTCCAGAACATCCGAGACAAGTCAATTCGGAGCTTTGGGCAGAAAGATACGGTCTCCTGACTGGACGTATGTATAGACGGCCTTCTCTGATCGTGTAAATGCACTGCAAAGATGACCCCTCCAGGAAGCTTTAAACTTCCCAAGCACCGAAGCTTCCTTCATCACAGTTGGAGTCAAATGAGTCCTCTGTCTTCTGCAACCGGAATCACTCAATTCGGACAAGTCTCCAGGAAGTTACACTCTCCGGAATGCGAGATGGTCCAGACAGCCCAGAATGACTAAGTTAAACATGCCGCGATGGAACGCCACGGTCCACACTTGGCCGTGGCAACTTTTGTGCACCCTAGGCGAATGACACGATCTTCATACCACGGTCTACACTTGACCGTGGCAAACATACACTTGGCTGAGAAGAACTTTGCAACCATTCGGCGATTGACACGGCCTAAATGCCATGGTCTGAGGCTTGACCGTGGCAACTCCTGCAAACCTTCGGCGATTGGCACGAGCTGAATGCCACGGTCTTGGACTTGACCGCGGCAAATGAACAACTGGCTGGAGACAACTTTTACATAGCTTCGGGTTTTGACACGGTTTGAATGCCACGGTCTGGAGCTTGACCGAGGCAATCAAATACTTGGCTGGGAAGGATTTTTCATGCATGCGGTTTTTGACACGGTCTGAATGCCACGGTCTGGGGGCTTGACCGTGGCAACTTTTACACATCTTCGGCGTTTGACACGGTGACTTGCCACGGGTTTCAGACGAAGCTTGATCAGACCGTGGCATCAAAAGGAACCAAGAACACAAGTGAAGGCTTTGACACGGTCAGGATTGCCACGGTCACACCAAGAGCACACCAGACCGTGGCAAACCCATACTTGCCCATCAAGGCCGGGTCAGTACCCGGTTTGTTCCGGGTTGACCCGGTTCGCCCAAGCATCCTTTATAAGGTTTTTAGACTTAATTTGTAGAGAAACCTTTAATCTACTTTTAGTTTTGTTTTCCCCTTTGGTGAAAACCTACTGAATACACTTTGTTTTAGAGAGCTTAATATCGATTGGCAGTTTCTTTCCATCTTGTTCATTATTTCTTATCATCAAATCAAACTTCTAATCATCATTAACAACACATCTTGCAAAGGATTTAGTGTGTTGATCATGATTAGTGAGTAGTCACCTTAATGAGGTTCTAGATGTGTAGGTTAGGGTGCTAAAGTGTTAGATTAGGAATGCTTAGGGCTAGATTCATTGATTCATTTCTCTAAACAACTGTTCTCTATGCTAGATCCTTGATAATCACTTGAGATCTAGATTCTGGGAATTTCATGCACCAAAAGTGTTTGATGAAATTCCTGAAAGAGTTGTATTAGAGGTTTAAGCATTTTTCTGCATGATGATGTATTGTTATTTGCTTGAATGATCATTGAGAACTGTTTATTAATGCATATTGATTCATATTTCACAAATGGGAATTTGGTTTGAAAATGGATTAGTATAGGGGTTAATACCTTCATGAGAGGATTAACCTAGATTAGAGTTCTTAATCATTTGAATCATGTCTCATCATTGTCATTAGCATTTCTAGTTTAGCACCAAAGCACCCTAACCAACTATCATGTCTAGAATCTCATGCCTCCATCATATCATATTCACATCATTTGTCATTGTCATTTGTCTTTAAACCTGTTTAAGTTTGTTAGTTGTCATTAGTTAACCAAAAATCACTCTTGTTTGCTTGAATTAAGAACATAATCACATAGTTTAGTGTCTAACACCACATCTGATTGATAAACCTCTTTGTGCTACATTGACAAGGGGATTGATAGCCCTGAGACCATAAAAAGTCTTGTCTATCAGACTCCTGGTTTCCTCTTCATTGAATCTGAAGTTTGACCTATCTGTAGTTCCAACTTCTTGACATGGGTTTCAGGAGATTCAAACTTCCCACTCAAGTCATTGTACATACAATCGATCCTCACTCCCATTTCTCTGGCCGACTTCTCATTGCCTTGAGATGTCTGCATCATGTTTTGTTCAAGCAATTTCATATGGTTGCTCAGCTGGGAGAGGGTTGCTTCTAATGAGCTGGTCTGTGCCTGTTGAGGGTTGAAATGTGGTCTTTGTTGGAAATTTTCTCCTCCATAGTTCCCGTTTTGGAACTTGTTTGGAAAATTCCTATGCTGCTGCGGATAAGGCTGGTTCTGGGGGTTCTCGGCTCATTGGCTCCTGTATGAGAGAATGTTGAAGTTGGCATTCCTGAAATTATGGTTGAAAGCTGGACTGAATCGGCTCTGGTATGTTTGAGCTCCCATGAAATTAATTTCCCCTTCTTGATATATGCCATCATCTTCATATTCCTGCAGCAGTATCACAAACATGTATATTCTTATTCTGAGATTTAAGAAGTTGACTTACCATGCTTTTTAGCTCAGCAATCTCCCTTGACTCATGACTGATGATAGTCTTCTTTGATCTGTCATACTCAGGGTTGTTGTTGCTATTGGCTACAGCTAAGTTTTCGATGAGTGCTCTCCCTTGTGTCACAGTTTTCGAACTGAAATCTCCATTGCTGGCAGTGTCAAGAGAATGATACTTCTGCTGATGTTCTCTGTAGAAGGTGCTTAGCAGGTTTGCTCCAGAGAAACCATGATGAGGGCAGTCTCTCTCATATGATTTAAATCATTCCCAAACCTCATAGAATGATTCTATTGGGCCTTGTTGGAAACCTTGTATCTTGTTTCTCAGCTGGTTCAATCTTGACTTGCATTCTTCCCATGAAGTAGTAGAACCAGATAACATAGATTTCAACCATTTAAAAGCTTTATCACTTAGAGAGAAAGGGAAAAGCTTACACTTCACATAGTCTACAGTGTCCGGAGTGGTTCTCACTATTCCACAGATTTAATCAAAAAGATCTATGTGATCCATTGGAAGTTTAGTAGAGATTCCATGGAATTAATTTTGCTTCACCAGAGAGACAATTTGAGATTTTATCTCGAAATGTCCTCTTGCTGGGGCATGAACTTGAATAGCTGATCTATTTTGAAAGTGTTGGTGAGGTGCATCGAAATCGGCAATAAGTCTATCGCGGGGCTGTCTTGTCGCAGAATTGGCAAGCTATATAGGTCGGTTGGCTCGTCTACCATTAGGTGGAACAATGTTTTCATCATCCCTTTGTCCTTCGGGATCGACCTGGTCTTGTCTCTTTCAATTATCAGCGGCTTGAGCAGCATTTCTAGGGATTTGGTTTCCCTCTCCATCGAGTTATGGCTGGCCATCTGCTTCATGAGCAGCCTCTCGGTCATCATCGTAAATGGAATCACAGACATCATCTCCAATGTGATCATCTTGATCACGGTTTAAAAGATCTTCCCGATGGGCATTTGGATTGACACAACCTGATAACTTCGACGATCCGGTGATTAGAACGGTGCTCTGATACTACTTGATACAATCCTTGATAGGATCTGCCCTTGATCGACACTTTATTGACTGGAAATGAAAAAAATAGACCTTGCAAACAAACAAAGTTTGAATCAAGGGAGGTGGAAGTGGATAGACACACACAAGAGTTACAGATTACTCGTGATACGCCAACTTAAATTTTCTAAGTGACATGACACACATAGAGTTGATTCAAGGTTTGTCCGAAGGATATAACCCACCAACCACAAGATCTAATTCTTTGAAAGAGTTTCAGAATAAAATATAAGATGATTCGACTTTATGGAGTTACAAGAAAATATAACGAAGAAGAAGAGATGAGTCTGGAAAACTTTAAACACACCTCAGAAATAAAACACAATCTGGCAAGTTTGAATTTGATTTAAACAAATCTGGGCTGTTCAAGCCAATCCCATTCCCTATCCTAGTTTTCCCTCTTCTGAAGCTGAAAATCTAAACAAAAAGATTCTAGAGCTTGAAAAATCTAAGTCTAGGGAAATCAGTGATCTTAGCTCTGAAATAAAAAGGATGCAAGAAGATTTCAATGATAAGTTTTGCACCCTCCTTAGTCTGATGATTAAAAACAAGTCTAAGAACACAGATAATTCTGAGGAGGAGCCAAGTGAAAGTTCTTTCGAAAGCTCAAGCGAAGCCGACCCCTTTGACCATGTGAAAGCTATCACACTTAGGAGTGGTTTAGCTTACAGGGAGCCAGAATTTTCTAAAGATCCTGAAGATGAGGAAAAGGGAAAGGAAAAGGAAAAAGAAAGAGAAAGAGTCACGATTGAAGACGTTTGAAAAAGAAGTGGTAGGAGAGAAGGATGGAGAAAGAGTAAGAGAAGATACATCCCTGGAAATCACCGGAGAAGACCTGATTCCCCCTCCACCAGCTCGTGTCTACAAACCTAAACCGACTTATCCTAGAGCCTCAAGAGCCCCGAGGAAAGAGAAAGAAAAAGCTAAGCTGAAAGAGTTAAGCGATCAATTAAATGTGAGATGCAAGTGAAACCTGTGCTATGATCCCCGCATTAAGAAAATACATAAAGTGTCAACTAACAAAATCTGTAACTCTTGAAGAAGGTGCTATGATGATAACCCATGAATGTAGTTCTATCCTGCAAAGCCGGATTCCTAAAAACATAGACGATCCCTGGAGCTTTGTACTCTCATGCACCATCAATAATATGGCTTTTGAGTGTGCTCTTTGTGATTTGGAATCGAGCATAAACATGATGCTTCTTTCAGTTGCAAAACGTTTAGGACATCACAACTAAAATTTCCTTAGTATTAGCTGATCGTTCCGTTAGACAACCCGTAGGTATCTTAATAGATGTTCCCGTCAAAATTGAAAAGTGTTGCATACCCACCGATTTTAAGGCAAGCGGATACAGGTTTAAGGAGAGTAAGGCGAGGTTTGATCTGATTAATGACGCACATATGAGCAAGATTGGTTTCTTTCAAGGAAGAGTTGGCGTCAAGCTGGTTTACAACTACAAGTACTTCATAGATGAGCCACTCCAAGTTCTCCTTCCCAACCCCTCCCTCACCACAGTCCAAGTAAAGCGCAATATTCACTTCTACTTGTTGAAGGAAGAGCCCTACAATGTCCAAACTGATCCAACAATTCTCAAGTACAAGAAGGCCTGCAAAGAAGAAGCTTCTAAGGGAAAGAAAGCAGCTGCTGAAGCTGGTGCTGCTAGTACTGCTGGTGCTGAAGATGATGGTATGCCTCCACCTCAGAAACGTTATGGAGGGAACATATACCACTTTGATGATTACAATTGGGAAGAGCCAGGTACCTCAGGGTTTAGAGTTCAGCAAAAGATTGGTGTCTTTCAGCAATTGTGCAAGTCACTACAAAAAAATTGAGTTATTGTGACAAAATTTTGATACAGAAATTATTAGTCACAAATTTGTTACATTTTAGATACAATATCGTGACTAATTTTCTTTGTCACAAATAAGTAACATTAAAATTGTAACCAATTTTTGTCATAATTAATGACAAAATTGTGACAAAAATAATTATCGTAATAATGGTGACAGTACTATGACCAAATACGTTGTCATAATTTTGTTACGAAGTTGTGAATGAATGTATAGTCTTCATTTATAACAATATAGTAACTAAACGCAACTTATAATTTGGTTCGAATTGAATACAAAAAATATCGTAATCAATTGCAACCTAAATACGGTAGCAAATTTGAGGTATTTTAATTACTTTATAGAAGTTTTACTCAGTCATAATTATTTATGTAATAGCTACAATACTACTTTAGAATTATTTTTTTTACACGTTAATCATAAACAAATTTTTACATATACAATATATATTTGAATAATATAAATTATATTTACATTAGCCAATTGATCTAAAGAATAAATTTAATATTCACGATTCAAAAACGGTATCAGAGCATGACAAAATTGCTGCTCGATTCCTTTTTGTTTAAGAATCAAGTCGATTTTTTTTTTCCTTCACATCTCTTCCGTCGACCTATTTCTTCTCTGTGAAAACAGGAGTGAAGATTATCCTTGAAAACCTTGTTCTCATTCAGGAAAACTAGTGTTATCGATACTCTGTTTTTCATTCACGAAAACAGGACAATTCGGTTACTCGCTTTGGCTCCTTGTTCTAATTAATCACGTCAAACACATAAGGTTTGGCTCCTTGTGTTATTATATTGGAGCCAGTCAATGATACATATTATATTGGAGCCAGTCCATGATTCTATTGTTGATAGTAAAGTATGTAAATGGAACATCCAATGTAATCAATCACCCACCATACATATTATATTGGAGCCAGTCCATGATACTATTGTGATTATGACCCTATTTTGGATAATTCTTACCAAATTCTTCTGTCCCATGAATTGAGTATTCAAATAATGTATGCGCTTACAGTTATAAACGTTAATTTATTCCAAAAATTATTGAAACAATTGTGTGATATGTCATATACTTTCCAGTCAAAGTTCAATTCATGTATGTATGACGATAATATGTTGTAACTTGTTCAATTCGGTGATGTGATAGCGAAATCTAGCAAATATAAAATCGGGAATATTAATATCATATATTAATTAAGATGTCGACTGCAAGAAAATTAGATGATGCCTAAATCAATGCCACATGTTATTTAGCATGCAAGAGATATTGAATTATTGATGCATATATGAAGGTGTCTAAATTAAATGCTTATATATTTCGGAAACTTTTTCTAAAAACCGAACGATTGTTCATACTTTTTCTCTCTCGCGAAAACCCTAGCCGACTATCAGATCTGATCTCCGAGCATCTCCGTTGCTAGCCGGCGATGTGAGAGGACATCGATAAAAGTAGACCTTCATCTCCGAGAGCAAGTGTTTTCGAGGTTTTCTACTGTTTTCTCTCCGGCGGTGCTGAGGGGTGGTGTAATCGTGGCGGAGAGGCATTGCGGTGGCGGACACTTACGATGAGACGTTTCTGAGCAGACAAGGCTTTTGTAAAGAGATGGACGAGCCGCTTGGTGGAATCGCCGTAAGGAGAAGAGTTTGCCGAGAGGATCGAGAGCAAGTTGAAATGGTGATGACTGACTTGAGCAGCTGTCTTGAGGCAGTCGGTGTATCAGTTGGAGGTAGCACACGAAGTGATACGAGAAGGTAATACGGAGCAACTGATGACGTGGGAACTAAAGTGTGAGATGTGGGAACAAGACACATATGCTAGACAGAGGCAGAATCGATGATCTTGATGTGGCAGTTTTGACAGGTACACTGGACAGAACTGATGTAGTTGCTGAGTTAGTAAGTGATGCAGGTGCTAATGGAGCAGATGCAAAGGCATTGGTTTATGCAAGTGATGACCAGGGATCAACACAAGTTAGAAATACATTGTGGAGATCAAGAGGATTGCAGTTGGATATATCATAGGATGTGTCAGACGATGAGTCAGTCGATGAGTCAGTTAATGAGTCAGTCGATGAGTCAGTCGTCATTATTTTAGGAAACATGGACACGTGGGTCCAGAAGCCCAAGAGGATGGAGAAATCACGTGGGCTTCAGCAAACAAAGGGTTTTGACCCTTAACTATATAAACCAAGAGATGGCCACAGAAACAGATGCGCGTCTAGGGTTTATCAGGAGATGAAATGCACACAGGTGTGTGACGTCGCCCCACCATACGAGATTTGTAGATCAGTTGGTGGTTATGGTCTATGGACTATGCAGCCGTGAGTAGACGGTGGTGCACCGGTGCTGCCGGATGGTAGTCAAATCATGCGTGGTTTGATACTGTGTTCGTAGGATGCTTGGAGTAC